GCCCGGAGCTACAGTGCTGGCCCCAGGGGCTCTGCCCCCCCATCCTTGTCACAGACAGCCTGAAAACTTGCACCTGCCCAGCCCAGAACCCAGCCAGCCTGATTGCCCCCCCTCCCTGCCCCCATGCAGGTAGCCCAGGGAAGCCCCCAGCATCCATTGCCAAAGCCCTCCTGCCCCTGTCCCCACCAGGCAATGGGCTTAAGAGCCTGCCTGCTTTGCTCTCCCTGGCAATGCTTCTCTGTGTTCCCACTTCTTCCAACCAGCTCTCCTGCCCCTCTCCTCCCCAGTCCAGGCCTCTGCCCAGGACCCCACCCCACAGTGCAGCCAGGGGTCCCTGGGAACACCCCAGCCCCTTCCCCTCCCTGACAGCTGCCCTGGACCTGCTGCCCTCCACCCTCCACAGGTTTCAGCACCCCCCACCACCACCTGCTCTTTCCACCCCTCCCCCGCTCCCCTCCCCCAGGCTCGGGCAGACCGCTGGAGTGGGGGAAGGGCCGAGCCGCAGGCTTGGAGCAAGGCAAAGAAATGGGACATCCAGGAGGAAGGGGGTTCACAGCTGAAGCACAAGGCAAGCTGCAGCACATGGGGCAAAGGGCCATGCAGAGTTCTGGGCATGGCAAAGCACCCAGCGTGGCAGCAGCTGAAGCTGAGCGAAAGACGGGGCTCCAGACTGGCCAGGAGGAAAGTGGAAGGCTGCAGTGGTCCCGACAGCCTGCCTGCCTGCCTGCTTCCTCCATGCCCCGGCTGGACATCGGCCACCCCTGGGGGCTGCAAGGGGCCCTCTCCTCCTCCAGCCTGAGCACCTCAGGAGACTGCCAGTCAGCGCTGCTGAGGCCAGGGCACACGGCACTGAGGTGGCAGCAATGAACAGGTATATAATGTACGTATGCAAGCAGGGCACCCCTGTCTTCCTGGGGCTGCCTCGGACTGCTGCTGCAATGTAAATGCTAAGAGAGACTCCAGAAAACAATGTTAAAATGCTATGAAGGCTGCAGGGTTGAATACCCAAAAACTAGAAAGTGCCTGTGCTCTCTTGTGCTCCTAGGTACCACTGGCACCCAGCAGGGCCTCAAGGAGCAGGAGCAGCCTTTGGGAGACTGAGGAGAGGGGAGAGGAGGTAAGCTGCTCCAGGTGAGAGCCTGTCACGGGCTTCCTGTAGGGCAGGGATCTAGAGCCACCTCTGACCAGAACTGGCTTATCTCAGGCTGTACCTGCACATGCAGCAACTGGAAACCACCGCTGAAAGAGCCAGGACTGGGGGGGTGCTTCCTGCCAGTTTGCATTTTATTTATTTAGTCTTAGTACAGTATATTAAAAGCTTATCTCCATTTAATGGTGTTAATTATTGAGGCTTCCATAGAGCTATCTTGAGCTTGCTGGTGGGTAAGATGGGAAAGAAGCTGGTTACCAGCAGGGCTGAGAGGCATGAAGGAAGCTGAGCTGGAGGGAGGCAGGGCTGTGCCAGGGATCAGTCTGATACCTGTCAGCATCTCCTTTGCACAGGTTCATACCTCCACCCCCAATTCTGAGTAGTCCTGCTGTTCCTGAGGTGCTGATGACAATTGCATCCGAGCAGAAAGCCTGGCCTGGTCTCATCTCTTGGATCCTCCTGGTGTGCACTGTGGGAAATCTTTCTAGCTTCAGAACTGAAACAGACTATGCTTTTAAGTTCACATATTTTCAGCAAAGTATATAAAGATGGACAGCCATCTTGCTCAAAAACTGACTCCCAGTGCTTGCCTGCATCAGAGCTGCAGTTGCATTTGGAGACAACCTGTGTTGGTTCTGTGAGGAGGGGGCTAGACTCCTTTTTGGCTTGAGCCTCAAACACACCCATTGTTTGCATCCCATTGTAAAATGCTCCTGGGTGACAGAGATGAGCCCAGGGCTAGGAGAGCCTCCTTACTTGTGCTTGGGCAGGCTGAAGCAGAGGCACTGGGAAGTGGCACACACCTAGCTCCCCTTTCAGCAGTACATGGATGGAGCACCCGGCTGGTCTGGGAAGGGACAGACATGCCTCTTCTAGGCACCTGGCTGACTTGGGGCTGCAGTCTCCAGTTATGTGCCAGTGGTCAGCAACATGTCCCACGTGTCACAAGCCCAGACTTAGCCACCCTGTCAAGGTGGCTAAAAGCATGAGGGGAGGGAGGAAGTGGGGGGG